TTGAAAAAGAGGTAAAATTAAAAAAAAAAATCAAAATGTTATACACCTGACCGATTCAATAGGGTAACCACTAATCATGCATGGCTCTGAAGCACTTGAAATGTTGCTAGTGTGGGGCCAGGCATGGTGGCTCACGCCTGTAATCCAAGCACTTTGGAGGCCAAGGCGGGTGGATCACCTGAGGTCAGGAGTTCAAGACCAGCCTGACCAAAATGGTGAAATCCCGTCTTAAAAAAAAAAAAGAAAAAAATTAGCTAGGTGTGGTGGCACATGCCTGTAGTCCCAGCTACTCAGGAGACCAAGGTAGGAGGATCACTTGAGCCCAGGAGTTCATGGCTGAAGGAGTTAAAGGCTAAAGTGAGCTATGTTCATGCCACTGTACTCTAGCCTGGGTGACAAAGACCCTGTCTCTACCGGAAAAAAAAAAAAAATCTACACAAAGTTATGGCAGAGTACAGTGAATAGCGTGAAGCTCTCCAAATGTAAACATTTCTTTAGAATCTCATATTGATTTCAAAAGGTCACCTTTATTTCATATTTTGATTTTAATATGAAAATAATGTTCTAAAATTACTTCTCATCAAGAAGAAAAAATGCTTCTACCTAATACATCAATACAAAAGATGAATCAGATTTACTGATTTCTGGTAACTTGGCTGAGTTTTCTGACACTGCATAGTAAGTTGTATTCTAAGCAAATTTTCCTTTGTCTTTTGTATCATAATGTTTTGTGAACCCAGATGCTAATAAATATGTAGAGTTTGAGAAAAGGAAAAATTTTACTGTTCTCTTAGCTAAGGTGACTGCTAAGAAGTGAGGCCTAGATGACTTTCCAAGAGGTGACCAGTACAGTAATTTCAGGCTTCTGCTGATGGAAATTTCCCTATGTTTATCTTCTCAGAGGTCATGTGTTTTTTGTGCCATGTGGCAGAATCAGTCTTTCTGATTTACTCATTAGTCTTTTACTAATCAGAGGATAGTTAATCTGCTGGGATGTTAATAATGGTGTTCTTTATTTTAATTCCTGTAAATTAAGAGTCTCACACAGCCCATACAACTCCCTAAAATCAATTCTTCACGTCTGACTCTCAAGCTTCATTTTCACTGAAGCAAATTTGTCACTTGCAGTAAAAATAGGCAGAGTTTTTGTCTTGCCAGTGTTCATCCTCAGAAAAACATTCATTAATTGTGGGTAACACCCCCCATGGGCACCGAGGAAGGAGACCTGTCCAGACGCCAGGCACAATTAGTGCCTGAAGAATATCTTAGTTTATAGTGTTATTACTCAGCTATTTCCTTTATATAATCCTTTATATATAATAATATATTAGTATATAGGATTAGTGCCTGAAGTATAACTTACTGTTTACATATATCTAGCTTATATAATCATACTTAATACTTATATCTAACATACTTAGTTCTATATATCTTTCTATATAATCACATAGGTATTGTAGTCGGAGCTGTACTGACACATTTAGTGCTGATTTATATAATCCTTCTATATAACCATATAATAGTCTGCAGTAGGAGGAATGCCTAAAGCAGTCACAGAACAGAAGAAGAACACGGGAAAACAGCCAGACCAGGACAAGAACCAAAGACCCAGGCGGTGGCATCCCTGCCTGAAAGGGCATACACCGTACAGCAGGCTTGGAGCAAGAGCCTCTCCTGATAAAGGAGTTGTAGTACCTTGCATCCAGTTCCTGTGGAAAGTAGGCCTCAGGCCTGAGATCCCGTAAATAACCAAGGGAGAAGTCATGGTGGCTGTACAACCTGTCAGTTTTTTCTCACTTCTGTGCTAGCTCAGATCACCCTCCCATAAATATCTTAAGAGAAGAGCACAAGTCTGTCAGCTCCCACTGCATTGGCTTACAGTATCCTTCTATTAGAAATCCTTTGAAGTCTCCAGCCTCCAGATAAGAAGTGTTGCACACGACACCTGTTGCACACAGCCCACCTCCTTACCTTGGTGACGTAATGGGGGTGAACCCCTTTTCTGTACATGACCCTCTACTACTGTGCACGGCATACATAATCATGTGAGTCACAAGTGACGGGGCCCCCTACTGCGCAGGGCCCACCTCTCTGCCCAAGTGACATAATGGGGTGGCCCCCTCACTTGTGACTTACATGATTATGTATGCTTTATTACTAAGCCTATAGATGATGACCTCACTCATGACCCTGCCCCCTGCTTGTACCTAATAAATACAGA